ATCTCATTGTATCCTGTACGATGACAGTAAAGCTTTTTATATATTATCTTTATTACAGCTATGTGAATTTTCAGAGAGACAGTCAACTCCCAACAGGGGGAAACACTTTAGCAGTGTCCATTGTTTAAATCTCAGTTATTTCTTCTGTACATTTTGTTCTCAGACAGGTTTTTCTTTATTGCCCTCCCTCAGACCTGATGAAGATATAAGTGAAGAGAATTGTTATGAAGCTCTCATCTTATGAAATAAAAAGCATGTTGCCTTTGTTTATAAGCTAAGCAGGCAGAAAAGGTAATCTTTCATCAGACTTTAATGTTTACCTCACAACAGCGTGCCTCAGTATAATGAAATGATATGTGGTTGTCTTTAATTTGATGGGTTCAGAGAAATATGTTGCTTCTAAACCTGGTTGTTAATGCATGCTAATGTATACTGCACATACTGCATAGGAAATGAAGCTGTCACAATATCCTATATTCAATTAAATTGTTATCATGGCTAATAATTCTTACTCACGATATCATATTAACAACAATAATAATGTCAAATAAGAATGTTTTTTTGCTAAGGAATTATTCTCAAACTACAAATAAATACAAACACTAATAGACAGGAAACTATCATTCAATCACCAATCAAATTATATTTGGTGTGACATCCTCTGCCCTTAACCCTCAACAACAGTTAGGGGAAAAGTACTAAAAAAAAATTTTAAGAGGGGAAAAAGAACGTAGAAACCTCAGAGAGAGCCACACGTGAGTGATCCCTCTCCCAGGACAGACAGGAGTGCAATAGATGCCACACGTAATACTAATACTTATAGCCTCTGGGGTTGCTCAGACATACAAAGATGACATCATTAAGTGATCAACAGTGGTAGAAGCAATCATCAATTCCAAAATATTGCACCACCCCTTATATGAAACAGTCATTGTGATCAAATCCTCACATTCTCTGCAAAATATGTGGACATTCCTTCTGTAGTGTTCTATTCCTTCCTCATATCTCCTGAGCTGCCATGGAGGAACGTACTGAGCATTGTGATCAATGTTACACAACATTGTTCATATACGTGAACAGCTGATGTAGTTTACATGAGCCCTCCGATCTGTGAAAGCTGCCCCATGTGCTCACCTGCTCTCTCCACCAACTGCTGACCTTCACTTTGCATCACCGCTGCACATGCAACGCCTCCGCAGCACATCATGCACTCATCCACAGGCTGCTTTCATGGCTAAACTTGTTGATTTCTACACCCTTTGTTTGTTTGCTTCACCTTAGGGCGTAATAAATGGCTTCACGTGGACTCCCTGTCTTGCCACAGTCCCTGAGCCAGTCTGTGACATAGCACCAATGGATTTCTTTCAGACAGCCACTGCTCGTCATTCATTTCAATATTGTGAAAATAATAGTTTGATCATTTTTCAAACTGACACTGTTATGTTTTTTTAAATATATTTTCCTATAAAACTGTTAGTGTTAATACAGACTAAAGAGCAGTTTGAAAACTCTTTGGGCTGGTGTGTTGATAACTGCGTTTACACCTGCAACATTTCTGACAAAATCAAAACCCCAAGGAAAAGAAAAGCACAAAGCTCTTAACCATGTGGTTTGTATTCAAAAAAATATGCCTTCTAAAACATTATGTGTGATACTAAAGCTGAGGTGTGGAACTTTTTTCTGTTATTGATGGTAAAAACATATCATGCACAGCGAGTGGCAGCTAGTGATTTATTGGAATGAGCCTTCCTCTTCTAACCGTCAGAGTAAGACAGAGATGGAGGCTGTCAATCAATACATGAACACACTTCAGGTCGACAACTTTTCAACCAGGGCCTCAAGCTATTACAAGTTGCTGGGAGACGTGGTTATGGCCGAGTCACAGGTTAGCAAGGTCTCCAGCTTAATGTTCCATGTGAAGGATTTAGTTCAGATATTGAATAAACTATTCATAAAGGTGTTTGTCAGTGTACACATACTTGACACTAGGAATTGCTGTATACATTAACATAGTTATATAGAAAACAGGTCATATGCACAATTTGAATTTTAACGTGCGTGGTAGGAAATGTAATGTATACAATAAAGGCTTCATTATTAAGGACATTATTAATCAGGGTCATTTTCATATCCTGACAAAACATGCTCAAATGAGTGAGGGGATATTATGAGAATTAACATGAAACAGAACAAACACAAATCGAAAAAACCTGACGCAAAAAAGCACTAAGTTTGATCCCATGCATAACAGAGCCCGAGTGAAATATACTGTATGCGCACACTTAGAAGCTAGGATGAGGGCTGGCTGCCTGTGAGGATGGTCAAACTTCATAGATGTTTCCATGGCACACCGACAGCAGAATTTCTTACGTTGCTGCGGAAAGAGAGCAGGGATAGAGATATAGAGACAGAGAAAGCGGGTGAGTGAGGCAAAGAGTGCTGCTAACAGTTCTACGAAGCAACGGCACAAAACTCAAAGTTCAGTCAGACAACTCCAAATGGCTGCAGTAGTAGACCAGGTTTGTGTTTGGCGTCTGGGCTCCGACTTAATCGCTCCCGATATGATTACACAGATATAATGGCAGTGAGGAGATATACTTGTAACCCCCCGTCAGAGACTACAGGAGCTCGCACTGCTGCTGCAGCATCACTACCAGTTGCTTCAGCCCCATCCACCACTACATTATATCCATTATACACTACACCATATTGCACTGCCATGGACAATGTTACTCTGTGGAAGAGGACCTGCTCCACATGCCTTATGGCTATCACCCCCTGAACCATCACAAACTGTGCCTGTGGAGCAGGTCCTCTCCCGTGACTACACCATTTTACACTGCCATGTTTCTACAGTAGCCTAGGAGAGACAAGTGAAAGTATGGCACTGGAGAGGGCCTTTCTTTTTTTATTGTACCTGAAGGTCACTTGGAAAAGGAGGGTGAGGTGCAGGGTGTTCAGTTGGTTGCTATCTGCAACTTTACCAATAGAAGCCACTAAATCCTACACATTGAACCTTTGGGTAACATCATTACATCATTAAAGCTTTAAACTTTTATAGACTTTATAATAAACTACCGCAATTAACCATTTACTAATATTTGACCTCATAATTGCAATATAATCAGTCATATGAAAAAAAAAACTACAGAAATGGAGCCTTTTTTTTTTACTATACCATACACAATAAAGAGGACAGGAGCCTCCATATTGGAGTCTGCAGAAAACCCATACTCTTACCATGGATTGGAAGATAAGCTTGAAGTTACCAGAAACCTGCACCACCAAACTGGTTGTATCCCAACCAGCCCCCAGGTCTTAAAGAAAAAGCTCTTGCAGGATGAGCTTAAAATTTATGGATATCTAAACCTGACCTTTGGGAATACAGCCTCAAGATCCTGGAATCCAACACATAACGTGGTGATGGAAAAAAAGGAGAAACTCCTCTTCAACAAGCACTGATTCCATGTTTTGCAAACCCAGAAACTAGTAAGACAAAAACTTGTACATCAGAAACGCCCAAAGTCAAGAAAAGCAATCGAGTGTATGCAATTTAATAGGGCTCAGAAAAAAAATCGATTCCTGATTAAAATCGATAATTTAAACGATCCGATTTCTATTCATCAAAATGAGAAATCAATCTTTTAATATGCATTTTCCCATGAGTGACCCCGTTTTACATAAGAACAGCAGCAACATTTTCCTTCATCTCATATCTGTGTCTGGAGACGGAGCGAGACAGAGTTTACACTCGCAACACACACAGTCCCCGGACCCCGCCCACACTCACAGAGCACCATACACAGTGAAGCAGCAGAGATACATGATCCAACAAAAAAATTAAAAAAAAGAATAACTAATAAATGTGATAGTCAGTATGTGTGTGAAGCGCAACGAGAAGACACACACACACACACACTGCTAGAGGTAATGGTGGAATACCAAACTAATACAATCATAATTGCCCCATCCTGTTTACCGAGCTGGTAACATATGCCCTGTGCCAAATGTTTAATATGTTTTCAAGAGCAATTTTTGGTATCAGAGCCAGAAAGTCCATTTTATGTATTTGTTTTGGTTGTGTGCACAACAGAACACACCAAAACTACTACCAGTGCCACAGGAAACCACAAATCAACAGGTGAACTCCCACTGCACCAGCCACTCCTGTGACCGGGGGCCAACAACAGCTGCAGCACCACAAACAATAAACAGGCAGATTAACACTGTGCTTCACATACTAAAATACAGGAAATAAAACAATATAAAATAAACTGCAACCAGCACTGTGAAATGAACACAGCACATTTTATTTTCAGTATAAACACCACAGTTTAAAAGTAAAAATACATTTTCATATCTCACCACTGCCACTAATACTGGCCCGTTATGACCTTTTACAAAATAAATGATACATTGTTGGAAGCCTCAGGGTGCATCTGCCCCCCCACATTATCCCAACAATCATACATTTATAATTAAAACACAAAATGTTTGTTTCTTACCTAGAGGACACGTGCACGGGTGTGATCACAGGGGCAGGAATGAGTGCTGATGCACCTGTGCTTCATCAGCCTCTTAACTACTGAGGTGCTCTCACCTTGATTTACTGAATTGGGCCTGGGTCCTAGTGCCCCCCCCCCCACCTACACTTGCATAGTTCACAGCTTTGGTTCTCTCAAAATGTCTTTCATATCTAAAAAGAAAATTGTACTATACACTGAAATGTCCCTAACCGAATCGATATTGAATCAAATCCTTGTGAATTGGAATCGAATCAATTTGGGAAATCAGCGATGATATCCAGCCGTACAGTTTAATGCATTCAGGATTGCACTGCAATTTTATTTGATAAATGAAACAACTGAACAAAGACATGGCTCACCACAGTCGGAACCAACCCCGCAGGTCAGAATCAGTAGTTCACATGAAGGATCAGGGCCATTCTTCAAGGATATTAAGGTACATATTTTAAATAGGGAGGGCAGGTATGACAGCCGTTATTATCCATCACTTCTGCCTTGTCATGAGAATTGTAGATGGGATTTCTAAAACTCCAACGTCTATAGTTTCAACAGCCAGAGGCATTAATCAACTAACTGACGTTAATGGCCTTAAAAATGACCCTAAAAATGTAATAAGTACCAATTATTTACCAGGCAGAACTGAGGAAGTCTCTTGAAATTGAGGTAAAACACCTTTAGATATCTTAAGACCTGGCATTAACATCTATGTATGTGTACATTGTGTGTATGTTTATGTGTATGAACATTCCCTTACA